TTCAACTAATCGTTTTCAACAAAGTTGGTCGCCAGCCATGGTGAAACAATAACAAGGTGTTGTCAGTAGCGACGTGTTTGTTGTAACTTTGACAAGATCGGCATGCTTATTTTCAGTGCTGTCGATCTTAATTTTTACAATGGTATTAGTTGGGAAATAGTATTTAAAATACTCCATTTTAGTATTTCATTTTATCGCGATTTTTAAAGAACTTGGTGTTTTCAGAACGATATTAATATTTAAAATTGCTGGATTTGTATAATTTTTGTCCTCACAATATAAAATATAAAAGATATCGTAGTTATCAATGGAAAAAGACGTACACAAAAATCGTATGGAAAGGTGATTTTTTTTATATTACATATCTTTTGCTGCATTGTCATAATATCGAGCCAAATGGACTACTGATACACTAGAATAGAGCCGCAGCATGGTTAAATTACGATTTCGCGTATATTATCGATATTTATGTGTTTTAATCTATTTAAAAAATCATTTACAGTTTTATAGGAAATTGCCTTAATTTACGGCCTGTACTTTTTATAAGTTACAATATATGTCCAATCTGTGTGGAGCTGACGATACAAACATATATTCAGGCTTATAAGCCTGTAATTAAACATTTTTCTACATTTAATTTGAAATAGTATCCACGAACGGATAAAAAGTTATAAATAATTAGTACTTTAAAATGCGTGACCGGAATAGACCTGCCAAAAAGTGAGGTTAAGTTACTGACAACACCTTGTTATTATTACACCATGTTAAAGTTTTCAATATCACAAATACATTTGGGGTGTTCACAGTTCGTTCCAAATTGTGTCTGAAAATGTAGACGTCTACATTTTGAGACATCTTTAGCATCAAACTGTGAGCACCCCTTTCTAGCAGTCGTCGCAAAATCGTCACAAAACTTTGCTGGTGTTGCCGGACATTTTTTCTTTGCGTGCATTTTTTATATGTCGCCTTTCGATTTTGTTTCTGAAAAAAATTGTAATTATTTAACTTAATTACCAATTCCTAATATTTGTTATTTCTTTTCCTTGATTTGTTTCTTTTCATCAGAAATTGCGCTCAAATTAAATGCAAATACAGAAAACGTGCCCAATAAATAAAAAAAAATGTGATTAGTATTGCCATAATGCAACCCTGCTGCGAGGTTGCAAAATGTAGACGCGTAAAAAACATACCTTTGAGTGTGACAAAATGTAGACGGCGTCGTTTTCCAATTTTGTACGGGAAACAACAACACCACAGATTTTACGGTTAGAAAACGTTTTAAAATGTAGACGTCTACAAGGGGTGGTTGTTGTAATTTTGGCAATTTCGGCATACCAGCGTTATGCAGCGTTTTTGCTGCATTTAAAATGCAACATTTAGCACTTTCGAACATATGTTTTCGAAGAGCGTTCATGCTATCGCATTTAGCAAATGTACATTTACGCGAGTTCGAAATCGTATGCTTTTGACAAACAGCCGTGTTCCAGTCGCTTATTCAGATCCGTATCCATTACGATAAATTCTCACGGAAAAGATAATGTGCAAAAACCCCTACTGAAAAGGAAAAATAAATTCTATACCGAAATTTCAATACAAAAACCTGAATTGTTTTCACCATAACCGAACATTTGTTTGTGTATATATTCATTTGTCGGTGCTGCCAATTATATTTTCCACACCTAATTAGGAAACAAAACAAACAGAGTTGATCACAAATTAATCCAGATTTCTATCAGCATCATATCGATGTTGAATTTGCGTAACTTTTCTTTATCCAAATAATGTAAAATAATAAATGAAATCTCGATCGGCGATCACTGAAACGCAGCTAGCGGTTGTATACTCGAAAAAGCAATGTTGCCACTTTTTCTCATTAAACCATGTTCGAATCGTGAAAATTTTGGAAGATCACAGGGATGCTTTTAGCATTTAAATTCTAAATGCAAAGATTGAGTTGCATTTAGTTGCATTTAGATGACGAATTTTGTATGGATAAATGTACATTTAGAGTAGCATTTAGAGCTAAATGAGCTAAATGTACATTTACGTGTAAGCAAAAACAGCCCATTACAGTAATGCCTACTCGATTCATTCCAATTTCATTTCTGGGCAAAATGGAACAAAAAATGGAGCAGACAATTTTGTGAAAAAATTATGCATAGTTATCACTTACTCGCAGGTATAAACGTAGTAACTGTTTCTTTGTTTCGCTTTTGCTTTGACTTTTCGTTTCAAATTCATTGAAAAGTTTGAGCGATAATTTCCAATAATTGCGATTTTGTAAGTAAATTTTTGATAAAATATATACTGTACATATCCAGCAGATTATTGGAGCAGTGCCTCAGATGGCTTCGATAATGCACTTTGGTCTAACAATTTAAACGCATAATGATTTTATAATATAACTGATAGAATTCAGAAATTCAATTTTTGAATGTTAACGAAAATAAAGGTCGTAATAAAATTAACGAAAAAATACAAATAAAATTCCATACGGGCTAATATATCATTTTTAGTAGAATTTAAGAATAATTAAATAAAGAGAACGGTTTAATTTAATTTGTTTTAATATGAATAAATGAATGATGTGTGTGATACGACCGTGTGGCCTTAAAGTTTTACAAATAATAATTTTAAGGTAGAAAAATATAACTGAATAATAATTATTAAAATCAATATATTTGATCGAAAAAATAAAAATTAAGTAAGAATAATTTCTTTTGAGCGGAAAAAGAAACTGTAATTACACTGGTTTACAGAAAAAATATTTTATTGATGCAAGCTTCATTTAACTGATATGGGGTCCACTGATATACATATGTATGTATTGGAAATAGTACCCCAAAAGTAGTAAAAATAACCTAATCTTTTCGCCCTTTTTCTACTACCCCAAAATGCATGGCCGCAATTGGCATGCAGAAAAAGTGAGATTATGTAAGTGACATCACCTTATATTTATTTCACCATGGTCGCCAGCCAACATTTAGCCATTCAACTTTTTTTTCGGGCACCCCTCGTGAGCTGAACACAAAATCGCCGCGTGCGAACACCTTTTTAGTTTCATTTAGGTGAAGAATTTTGTATGGATAAATGTACTTTTAAGGCTGATTCACATACAACTTTCTTCGCTTTGCTTGATAGTTCTTTGCTTTGACATATAAGATCGATGTAGGCATATGCATGAGTATGCTCACATAAAAAACGTTTGAAGCAAAGCAAAGCAAAACGAAGCAAAATCTTGGGCAACTCTCAACTTTTGCCCGCTTTGGAAATCAGCTGTCTACATGTATCTTTTTTCGTGCGCTTGCATTTGCATTTAATGACAAAAATAGGGTAAATAGGAATTATTATTGCTATTATTATTGCATATTATTATATGGTTAACTATTTTACAGATCAAAAATATGGAGGAAAAGGAGAACGCAAAAGCTGGCAAAGCGTTTATTGTAGCATACCTTCTGCGTTTCACGCTTTGTTGTCAAATTTTGAACTGTCAAGCAAAGCGAGGAAAGTCTTGTGTAAATGGCCCTTTAGAGTAGCATTTAGGGCTTTTTGCAATATAATATTTTTCAGAATTATAGAATAAAAACTAATTTAAAATGCATAATATGCCTTTTTCAAGCTCACATTCAACTGTTTGGTACGCAAAGCATTCGCATGTGAACAACAGTTTTGACAGATGTGTGTAACTAACTGCCATCCCTAAATTGGCGCGTCAAGCGCCAAACAACTGTCAAAAATCCTCATGCCCATACAGTTTGTATGAAGCATCCCACAATAACGCGGCGCTAACGCCGAGCAAATGGAATTTTCATTTTTGACAGGGCGTTACGTGTTGAAGTTGGATGCGGAAGACGGAAAGAAAGAGAAAGGACAAAAAAGTGAAAGAGGAAACGACGCGTTGATTTGGGGATAGCGCGCGCTGACACTCGTCGACAATGGATAACGCAACGCTTAGCGCTCCAATTTAGGGACGGCAGTTAGGGTTTACACCAGACAATATTTAGTCTGTTCCAATAGCAGTCCGGTTTACAGGATTTAGTCAGAACTTACAGGAAGTCGTTCCTATTGACATAAAACCTGTAAGTGGGAACACATTTGAGAGAGTAACTGAGCAACTGTTCCTAGTCAGAAGTTACAGGATTTAGTCCGGAGATTTTTTTCCTGTAAGTTCATGAAAAGTGTCAAACGATCAGCTGATTTACATGTGCAAACAAAAACAGAAAGCGGTGAAAGCAAAGAACCTTATATTTGTTAAAAAATGGAAGTAAACAACGAAATATTTAAATATGTATAGATTTTAATAATTAATTAGTGATATTTCAGCCAAATCAGTGTAGTACCAATGACATGTAAACAAACCGTCTGACGTTTTTACAGGAAATAGTGCTTTTTGCGTTCCTATGCACTTCTGCATCTGTTCTCCTTTTACTCTCTTTTGAGAGCGTAAAGTTGTAGTTTGACAGTTCCACAGGTTTTAGTCCGAAGTTCAAAGGAACAGACTTATTGTCAAGACAATTATGTCAAAATCAAGGCGCATTTATACAAGGTGGTGTTACTGGCGAATTTAGGGTGTTATGTCAAATCTCAACTCGCTCCAAAGTTTACATGTATTTTGTTTTTGCTTTTGATGGGTGTGCTGTCAAATCAGTAAAAGCAAAAACAAAATACATTCAAGGCGAATAAATCAGCTGATTTTACAACACCCCCTTGTATAAATTCGCCTTGGTCAAAATGATGTGTTTGTTGTAAACACGGCGAATTCATATAACAACAAACACATCATTTTGACATAATTGTCTTGACAATATTGTCCGGTGTATTCCTAAAAGTAAGCGGCGAATAAGAATACAAATGGAATTCTTTGCCTTTGCTAACGTTAACGCTCACAATCGCATTGAACTGTATAGCAAGCTTTAGCAAAAACAGCCCATTACTCGCGGCGCTGTCAAAGCGACGCCATCGCCAACGCAACGCCAAAGTTGTATGTGGACGGGCCTTAACATTGTCAATTTTGACATTTGATAAGAAATCGTGAAGTAATTTTTGAGAAGAAAAATCCTTTGGAATAAGAAATTCAATAATAGGAATAATAGGAACCAATTCAGGAAAGATTATAATTTATTTAGCTTACCTTTTATGAAGCGAATAGCAGCTGTATGGTAAAAATGGCCACAGAAGTAGAAACTCCAGGAGTTCAGCAAAAGTCGAAGAAACCTTCAGGTAATTATGTATATGTTGTTTGTAAAAAAACGGGGGTGTGCTGTTGTAAACAATGACTAATTCTATTGATTACTTGTACATTGCAAGCATAAATTTTACATTCACATTAAAACGATAGTAAATATACTTAGATAAATGCATATGTCATATTTCAGATTCGGCCTTCAAGCAGCAACGACTTCCTGCATGGCAACCAGTATTAACTGCAGGCACCGTGTTGCCCACCTTCTTCGTCATTGGAATTTTGTTCATACCAGTGGGAGTGGCATTGCTTTATTTCTCAGATGAAGTTAGTGAGTTTGTCTATGATTACACCCACTGTAAACAAGAGGGGGCAGACAATTTGACCTGTGCCGAATATATTACTAACCATCCTAGTGGAAAATGTGAATGCAAAATTGAATTCGATCTACCAAAAGATTTCACAGTAAGTTAAGTTTTAACCTTTATGTGTACATATAAGATTTGGGTGGGCTTTAGTAGTCAGCCGCACCTTGTGTTTTAAGAAAACCAGGTGGAATTAACAAATGAAACTTGGTCAGGATGTTAAGGGAGGTATCCTCTAAAACATGTATAACTAAAAAATATAAATAATATCATTGTTTATAAGTTATTTGTTGTTAAAATTTCTTAAGTCGTTCCACTTGGTTTCCTTAACAAAAAAGCATTTGCGCATACTTTTATATATATAAATGCACATAACACTGTACTTAATACTTTACACACTTTTCTTTTATTTTATCTTGTATATAAATCACTTTAATTAAACTTTTATCGACTTGTAAATTACATTGAATTTCACGCATATTTACAATAACACATGGTTGCAAACTGACACATAACATGTGTTGCCATATTGTACAAAACAATACATACAAAGAAGGCAATGATTAAAAAGGAATACAGGGGAAATCAATACAAAAGAAAATGTTCAGCTCCTTTTCTTCGCAAAACAGAAAGGAGAATTCTATTGCCTGAGGGTTATAATCCCTAAGTGCGGCCGAAGGCCGCCTACGCAGTAAGGTGTTCTCTGCAAAAGGTGTTCAGCTCCTTTTCTTCGCAAAACA